AGGTAGTGAAATGAATGATTTTGGACACTTAGTCTAACTTTTAACTTTAGCCAACTCGTTCTCATCCCAGGTCGTCACATACCGTCGTTATGTTGCACATTTGGAGGCATGAGAGCCATTTGGACTGAATCTATACATGTTAATGTGTTTTATGCGCTGATCATAAATCACTTTGGAAAACACTATCTGACAGGGTCAAGGTTAGGGTTAGGGCTGGAATAGATGGCTGTAGCATGTGTTACCGCCGCGAGCGTTACTGTGAGACGCGTCGGGACGTGATAAATCATCGGTATGTTATGGGTTGGGATGAGAATGCTCTGGCTTTAGCACATTGATCCAGTAGTTTGCAATTCTAGTTTAATAAAACAGGACATTCAACATCCCCAATAGGTTGAGGGATCACAGCTCAAGTTACAGTTACAGCCTTTTATTTTTAATAAAAAAAAGGCTTTTGTCACACCAGGTGACCTTCAACCCCAAATATTGGATCTGTGCAATCAAAAGTAAAAGAGTCACCTTTCTCTCTGTCCCTCTTCAGAAATAATAACTGAAGAAGACAGAGAACTCTTGAAATGTGAATTGCTCTTTTACCACCAACTGCTCATGAAAATACAATTTACATGAGTCTTTGCATAAATATGCCATCCTCGCATCACTGATGCATTTGCCTTCCCACATCCACTCAGCCTCCGTCTTTGTTAAAGGCCTGAAGCAGACATCTGTTTTGACTGACACCGAACCTTCACCTGACCGGCTGCTAAATCACTGGTGGTTACCCTCTGGATGACTTTTTGGCCGCTGAAAGCCCTGCTCGAAATTATGAGCACCGTTGAGCTTCTTGCCAGCAGTATAGGCGCAGCAATCATCTCTGAGAAAATTATTTCATAATTTAGAATGACGCAAACCGCAATAATCACAGAAAGAGTGCTTCTCACGGCATAATCACATATGTAGCACTCAGGGGAAGAAGCACAGAGTACCTATTAGATTATGACTCATGGAAGCTGATGGTTTTGTCCAGCCAGGTTTTGTGTCACTTAACAGATCCTTTGTTATGGATTCAATACCTAATGTTCATAATTGAAACTGGCAAACCAGTATGGGATGCTTTCCACACTGTGAATTATAAATGGGCTAAATGGGTTGGCTTTCCGCAACCCAAAGCCTATTATTTATGTACACTGCTTTGAAAGCTTAAAAAATGCACTTGCACGACTGTTCATTTTGAGCCGGAATATTTTGGAGATCCGGCTTTGCAGATCAGACCGGGAAAGAGATGCAAAGGCAGAAATGAGCCTTGCAGCACTGACCCACCTACACTGCACTCAGTGTAAGTTTGATCAAAGTACATTTTGTAGCTAAAAGAAAAACACTAAGGCTGCAGCGACTGATTATTGTGATTCAACTGAATCTATAATACTCTTCTTTATACTGTTACAGTGGCACAGGATCACATTAAACATGGGAAAAGCTTCAAATAATAAGGTATATGTATGCAACAGAAACCCCTGTGAGCCAGAAGCTCAGGCTGCTGACAATTCTAGACACTCGGTTTCAGCTCCTTGGATTTATGTAGAACTCTTTGTTGCCAGATCCAGCCAATCAGAAGAAAGCTGGTTTAAAGTTAGAGGGAAGGAAACTAAAATGATTTTTTCTGGTAATGGAAGAACCCAAAGGGTAGCATCAAAGCCCAGTATGGCTTAAAAAGGGTTACATTTAAACTGAGAATAGTGCAAAGCTACTCTTTGGGCTCTACTACTAGAGCTCAAAGATGAATGTACGGAGCTGTCCAACTTCAACAACAACAATTAATCAGTTATTTGGTAGTGTTTGTGTGCCTGTTGTTCTACCTGTAAACATGATAGGTTAAAAGGTTTTAAATGTATACCAACAAAACTTTGTGGGGTCATGTTCGCAGTCCATAAAAAGTTGCCTTACATCAAGGTCTTCAAGGTCAACATGATTCATGATTTATTTGTTGAAAACTGACAAAAAGTTTTATATTATTAGCCTTACAAGTGTGGTGCGATCATACAGTAAACATGTCATGTCAACTTTGACCTCAGGTCAGAGGTCAAGTTTTCTGAAAATTTCGTGAATGTGATCACTTGAGAATTTTGAAATTCATATTATAGGTGGAGACTGGGAGACTGGAGCTCATAGCATCATCATTCCTGTGATGTTCCTGAGGGGGCTTCTAAAAGTGTCCTTGAGGTGCTTAGTGGCAGTACTACAGGGTGCATTCTTTCATTTAGAGATGCTTTCATGCACATTAAATCATTACCTTGTAATTATTTTGGATCTTTTGATTGCCGTGACTTGGAAAAACAATTTTCAGAAACCAGAAATTGCGTATGTGCAGGCACAGAGTTTAGATTAGGGACACTTACACCTCAGCAGCTTAAGAGGAAAAAAAAAACACAGTTGTGTCCATTGACTGCACTCAATTCTTTTGACTCACAAGCACACAATGTGGTCGGCCTAGCTGCTTGCTACAGCCCGCAGCCTTCCATTCTTCTGCTCAAATTATGAGTAATTGATGAACCACCTGCACAGCCAAATTTTAGGGAGCGCTTTTATTTATTTTTTTAATCTTTTTCATGTAAAAAATGACAAACGCTCACACACAGGGGCAACTGAACACCAAACAAGTGGTGGTCAAGATTTCAGGCTGCAGGGCCAGCAGCTGAAACAAACTGTGATGCAGTGAATTCTCCTTTTCATGCAACATTTTGATTGTGTTGTCTTTTGTGCATCTGTAGAGTGTTAGCCACACTGTATCAGTGCTGAGGTTTTGGATCTAACTTTTAGCTTTATTCTGTGTATTCTCTGTCAGGAGGCATCTAATAGCAACACAGCAGACACTAAAGTGTCTTTTTTGAGCATCGTGCTTTTGCTCTGGGCTTTTTACTTATGCGTTATTTATAATGGAATCAATCATGGGTCTGATTTTCTCTTTTAAAAAAAAGTTGCTCCAGTTGCTTTCATACAAGTCCGTCCAAATCCTCTCAAATTTTACATCATTACTACTTTTTATAGAAGTTTGATAAGTACGTGACCGTTTCAATTTGAAA